GGAGCCGACGAAATCCCTTTAAGGCTATTAGTTAAGAGCATATTAAAAATGTGTCTCATCAATTCGGTTAAAAATATACTGTAATTAGACTGTACAGGCTTACATGTACAATGTGCTTGTTAATCATGCGTTGACAAGCAATATTAATTTAAAGTATTACCATAAAATTAAATGTAAAAAATACAGTCAGTCAACTAATAAATCGATCGATCGATCAATCAAGTCATGATTGCTTTATACTAGATTTGTTTATCTTCTAATACATTTTTTGTTATGATTATTATTGTTATTACTACGGGTCTCCATCAAATTTTTTCTTTAGAATCGCGTCGACTGACGGCCGTCGTACGCGGTGAGTTCCAGGCTTAAGTAGAATCCTCTAATTAAAGGCCGACACTAAAGGTGGTCTTAAATATCAATATTTAGAGGGAAATTAAGAAATGATACAGTAAATGTAATATCGTTTTCTTCCAAGTACATTTGAATGTATTTAGAGTTACTGTGTGCTGTTGTTGATTCTTAATAAACCATTTCTGGATATTCACACATCAATAGTCCAGCAAACTTTGGTTGGTTGCATTTTTTTTGCTATATTTTTAAAAAATTGGATATGATGTAGAGAAAACATAGATAAATCAAAAAAGTATGTGCAACATTTTTTTTTCATACGTAAGGGGGGGGGGGGTTGCCAGCCGTTTCAAAATGGCCGCCATTTTTTCTAAAATTGTCACCAATATTGTAAATTTAAAATGCAGTATTCAATTGGAAATCCACTCTTAACAATGACAAAAACAGTTAACTAAATATTGTACACATTTTTGAGCTATTACAATTTAAAATGGCTGCCAAATTTCCATTATTTTAGCTTTTTAGCATACATATTAATATAATAATAACCGACCTGTACAAAAACTGTGATAGAGCTAGTTATATGCAATTGCCATATGCTGTTAATGGTTATTACCATAATATATATGTGATATGTATATATATATATATACATATATAAATAAATATATATATATGTGTGTGTGTGTGCATATATATGTGTTTGTATATATATATATGTATATATATATATATGA